CTCCAAGAGCTCCAAGAGCCCCAGCAAGCCCTGACAAGCTCCGGGCACACGTCCTCCACACCAAGGACTCCACCACGACCTGCTCGAGGCCCCTGTGCCAGGTGTGATTTGATAAATCCCTCGGCATGGAGACCCCACGGTGGAGCCTCGCTCCGTGAAACCTCTCGTCTCTAGCACCTCATCTGTTCTCCCGGCTTGGCAGCAGTTCCGGCCTAGTAGCCAGCCCTTTTATATCCAAGGTCACATCTGTACAATGACGGCCGCGGTGATTTGCTCCTTCGGGTGGGTGGGGACAATGACAACAGCTTTGTGGATTATTCGAAAAGTGGGCGATACCCCAAAAAAAAAAAGTCAGCTCTCGAGTTTGAAATGACAGCACAAGGAAATTACCAGCCAGCTCCATGAACCACCCCAGAATGAGTCTGTTCAGGATCCTCCTGGGCTGTTCCCTGTGCATAAACACACACGGGGGCTATCGGGGTATTTCACCACCCTCTGTGTGCTGCGGACGGACACGCACACTTTTTTTCCTTGGAAAAAAACCTTTCCTCAGGCTGCGCTTTCCCCTAATCACCCTGCCCTGCGATAGGCGCGCAGGGTGAACGTGGACGCGTCACCGCGACGGTGCAGGGTTACAGAACCACTCCCAGCGAGCTGCAGCGGGCGCCGCGGGGCTGCGCGCTGCACTGCGTATCAAAGGGCAAAAGCAATCAGCTTAACCCGGCACAGGGCATGCCCTCTGGACCCAGAAATGCTTAAAAAATTACAATATCTTCCACATAACCAAAAGCCCGACTGTCTGCATCCTTTTAGCCACGGGGAGATCATAGTGAGCGTATTTTCCTTCATTTCCAAGCAGTTTCCAATTCCCGTTCTCTAACTGTTCGGACTCCGTGCAAGCGCTCAGGGATGGCGCTGGAGCTCCCGTCTTCACGGTGCCGCGAGCCCCCAGGCCCCCTTTGTGAGTTCAGCACGAGGCAAAGGCGAAGACGCCGTTTCCCACGCGGCTGGTGGGAGCTCTGTGGTTTCCAGCCCGTGCCTGGCCAGCCCCGCGGGGCGCCCGGCTCCGCGTACTCACGATCTCGGGCAGCATGAACAGGTAGGGGACGGTTCTGAGCACG